TCAAAAAATCAAAACCAAAAGATAATCAGTGTTGGTGAGGCCATGGGGAGGCTGGAACCATATAATTATTGCTGGGAATTAAAATGGTGCAGCACTGTGAGAAATGGGATGGCAGTTCCTCAAAAAAATTAAAAATAGAATTATCACATGATCCAGCAATTCCACTTCTGGATAGATATCCAAAAACTCAAAAGCTAAGTCTCTAACAGATATTTGTACACCTGTGTTCATAGCAGTATTATTAATAACAGCCAAAAGATGTCCATTGAGGGCCTCCCTGGTGGCACAGGGGTTAAAAACAGCGCTATCAAGCTATCGCCAGCCACTGCAGCACAAGTTCGATTCCCCGCCAGGGAGAAACCCACATGGCACAGCAGACCTCTCCTGTCCTCCCCGCTGCTTCCCTCAGCAGTGTATTTCAGTAGATCTGCCTGTTCTGCTCCCTACTCTCTCTGGTGAATCCTCTCACCTCCCATACCTCTGGCTTACACCCCAGTTCTTGTATGCATAAATAGATAAAACTTTTTTTAAAAGTCCATTGATAGATGAATAGATAAACAAAGTGTGGTCTATCAGTGTGATGGAATATTATACAGTCTTAAAAAGGAAAGAAATTCTGACATATGTTATGAAATGGATGAACTCTAAGGACCATGCTCAGTGAAATAAGTAAAAAAAATAAAAGACAATTACTGTATGGTTTTGAAGTGGAAAATGTCAGGCTGACCTGTTGATTAGCTGGAATTGGGACACAGCCTGTAAACTGAAAGTTTCAGGGAACAGTTGATAAGCACCCTCAAGGCCACACACACCTTGATCCATGCATTCCCAGCTGACTGTACCCTTTGCTTTAGTCAGTAAATACTCTGTAACCTAGTTGCTCAAGGCTCAGACTTTGGAGAGAGATCTCTGGGCCCACAAGTGTAAAACCTGCCAGAGTAAAAAGAGCTTCCTTCCTCCTCCTCTCTGAGTGCTGCCTGGTTCACTAATGAAAATCTGCCATAACAGTTCTACTTTTACAAGCTACCTAGAGTAGTCAAATTCATAGAGACAGAAAATAGAATGGTAGTTTTTGGAGTCTGAGAAATGAGGATCCAAAAAGACTTAAAAAGGCATCTATACCTCGGCTCTTGTATAAATAAAATAAATCTTTAAAAAAAAAAAAAGGTATCTAGTTCCACCTCCAATCTGATGTTTGAATATTTCCTCAATATTCTCATGAAGTCACCATACCGCTTCTGTTTGCATACTTTTAGTTACAGGAAGTACACTACCCACCAAAGCAGCTGATTCCAAGGATGGACAATGCAAAGTCAAGTGTGTCTCCCTGTCATTTCCATACTCCTGCCTCAGTTCTTGCCTTTGAAGTAATATGGAATAAATCCACCCTTTTCTTTTAGGAAAAGAACAAAACTAGACCACTACCTCATACCATGCACAAAAATCAACTCAAAATGGATAAAAGATCTGTACATAAGACCTAAAGCCATAAAATACATAGAAGAAAATATAAATAAAACACTGCAAGACATATATCTCAGTAACATCTTTAAAGACTCATCCCCCAAAGCAAAGAAAGTGAAGGCAAAGATAAACAGCTGGGAATACATCAGACTAAAAAGCTTCTGCACAGCAAAAGAGACATTAACCAAAACAGACACCCCACTGATTGGGAGAAAATTTTTGCACTCCATACAACTGATAAGGGACTGATCACAACGATATACAAAGAACTCACAGGACTCAACAAAAACAAAGTAAACAATCCACTCAAAAAATGGGCAGAAGAACTTAAAAGACGCTTCTCCAAAGAGGAAATGTAAATGGCCAACAGGCGTATGAAAAAATGTTCAACATCCCTCATTATCAGGGAAATGTAAATTAAAACCACCATGAGATACCAATTTACACCAGTAAGAATGGCACATATTAAAAAAAACTAGCAACAACAAATGTTGGTGAGGATGTGGTGAAAAAGGAACTCTCCTACATTGCTGGTGGGAGTGCAAACTGGTCCAACCACTATGGAGAGCTGCATGGAGATTCCTCAGACTACGAAAAATGGAGCTACCCTATGACCCAGCAATTCCACTCGTAGGGATCTACCCAAGGGACACAAAAACATTAATTCGAAAGAATACCTGCACCCCTATGTTTATCGCAGCACGATTTATAATAGGTAAGTTTTGGAATCAACCTAAATGCCCAAAAATAAATGACTGGATCAAGAAGATGTGGTACATATACACACAATGGAATACTATTCAGCAATCAAAAAAGATAAACTAATGCCATTCACAGCAACATGGATGGAGCTAGAAGAGATTATGCTCAGTGAAATAAGTCAGAAGGAAAAAAAAAATAGCGGATGGTTTCACTTATAGGAGAATTATAGGGGAACCATACAAGGGCTCAAGGGGAAAAAAATAACAATAAAAAACACAACAAAACAAAAATAAACAGACAACTATAAATCAGAGCTATTCTGCAGGGGAGGGGGAGGGAGAGGGATCAAAACAGGAGAGGGAAGAGCAGAAGAGCACAAGGGTCTGTGGTGATGGTGCATGGGTAAATTGGTGGTGGAAATTCTATGGGAACTACACCTGAGAAAAGAAAGCAAACATTGTAAAAAAAAGAACAATGATATAAAATATATAGATAAATAATTAAATAAAATTAAAAAATAAATCTACTCTCTTCAGGAAAGTCCTTCAGATAGTTGCAACCAGGACCCCTGAGACTTCTCTAGGACGTCTCCCTGACCCCTTTCATTGGTTCTCATAAAATTATTTGAAGAGCCCCCTCCCCTCCCAACTCTGTCACTTCTTGTTGGACAAGTTCCAATTTTTTTAGATCTGTTTTCAGAGTATGTGTCTGGAAGTAGATCCAGAACTCCGTGAGAGAACCGACTGGCACAGAGGAGATGGGGCCGCCACTCCCTTCCTCTTTCCTCAGTGTAGATTTAGGAAGTTCCAGAAGTTCCCACTTGCTTTGTTTAGTATTTCCATCATACTCCTGCTTCCTATTTTGCTTCTTTTTATTTATTTAATTTTTAAAAGATTTATTTATTTTTATACAAGAGCTGGGGCACAGGCCAGAGGTGCCGGTGGGTGAGAGGATTCACCAGAGAAAGAGCGGGGAGCAGAACAGGCAGACTGACCGAAATACACCGCTGAGGGGAGCAGCGGGCGCAACAGGAGAGGTGTGCTGCACCATGTGGGTATCTCGCTGGGCAGCCAGGATCGAACCCACCCTACAGAGGCTGCGGACAGCTTCACAGCGCTGCACTCAACCCACTGTGCCACTGGGGAGGCCCCTATTTTGCTTCTTGTAGAGTAAAACCTTTAGTAATTTTCATGCCTTCTACTGCGTCATGAAAGTATTAGCCTAAATACCTGCACCATTCATTGAAATATGTCCCAATGTTTTATGTCTACATCTGAGAAATTATATGGTTATAATTTAATACTAAACATGAAGAAAAAAAACAGCAAGTTCTCTCCCGAGCTTTGGGATAGCACAGACACTGCCAGCACTACAGAGAGGTGCAGAGCAGGCCCCCAGAATAGATCTCTATCGACCACTGAGAAGCATTTACTTCTCAGTGGTCTCTGCGGCCTCAAGCGAAATGTCCACAGAGTCGAAGTAAGCAGGATATTAGAGGGCAATTGTGAAAGGGGCAGAAAATTGAGCCCTACCAGCTGGGATCCAAACCCTAGCCTGAACATTTCTCACTTGTAATCTTGTTGCCATAATTTCTCTGTAATAAGTGTCACCTTCTGGAGTATCTGCAATCAGAGAAATAATATTTCAGTTGTCTACCTTAAAAGCTGTTCTCTGGCAAAGAGACCATCAAGTGCTTTTGTAACAGGGTGGTCCCCAGGAAAGGGGGAAGTTCCAGGTTCCCTGCCCCACCCAAGGGAGGGTGGAGCTGAGCAGGGAGAGAAGCTGCAGAAGAGACTGAGGAAGGAAGCAGGATGTAGCCAGGAGACACGTGAAGAAACTGTGCTTGTCTTTTGCTCGTGGACTGGGTGACACAGGTGTGGGTGAGACCCGTGGGGAGGTGACAATGGCAGCTTTTATCTTGATGTTGATTTTGCTCTTTTCCTTCCGGGCTTGTCTGGTTGTTTCTGGCCCTTTTCTGTGGGTCCCCACTGGAAGATGCTTTAGACTTGTGGCAGGCTTTGGGGCCTTGCTCTGGGCCAATCCCATATAGATGGACTTTTACCCACAAGGGGACGGGTAACTTTGGGTGCTTCATTTAGAAACTAGACTCTTTGCCTTACCTGTATTGTTTCCTAGTTTTATTAAAGTTCCTTCCCATTAAAGTCTCCTATGTTTTGTGTTGATGTGGCGGATGGCAGAACCCATTTAGAATAGGCAGGTTTGCGGGGTTTTGGGCTGCCCCTCTCCCTGTCCTATAACACTTTGAAAGAGACCTTGCCTGTTAAGGTGCCTTGAATCTCTCCAATCTTCCCTTTCCAATCCGGGATCAAGGCTGCCCAGGTGGTTCTCCTGGCCAATTCCAGGCAGTAGCTTCAGGGGGGCTGAGAGCTAATTCCACCACAGACATCGAACTTACCCAGCGACCTGCCCAGGCCTCAGTTTCCTCATCCGTGTAATGGAGATGTGTGAGAGGGGGAGAGGGAGGAGAGGGAGAAGAGAAAGTGGGGAAAGAGAGTGGGGGGCTAGAGACAGACAGACAGACAGAGACAGACTGACAGACAGAGAGACAGAGAGAGAAAGAGAGAGAGAGAGAGACTGGGTGTGTAGCCGCCCCCACGCCACACTACAGGGGCCTACTGGGGGTGCGGGCTGGACTTGGGCTGCTGCAGCCCCAGGGCGCTGGCCGACACCCCCTTCCGGCGCGCGGGGGCTGGCTGGTCGGAGCCACCGGATTGGACAACCCCGCTCGGGGCGGGGCCTGGGGCGGGGCTTCCGGCCGCCGCCCCCGCGGTTGCCAGGGGAGACAGCCGCAGGGAGGCGGAAGCAGCCGAGGACCTGCCAGAGCCGAGCCGGACGCGGGAGGGCTGGCGGCCATGGCGGTCTCGGAGCCCGGCTATCGGAGCTGGTCCTTCTTTCCCGAGGTGCCATCCGCCACCTTCTTCACCGCGCTGCTCTCGCTGCTGGTGTCTGGACCCCGCCTGTTCCTGCTGCAGCAGCCCCTGGCGCCCTCCGGCCTCTCGCTGAAGGCCGACGCCCTGCGCGACTGGCAAGGTGAGCTGGGCGGGACCCCGGTGCCCTCCCTTTTCCTCGGACTGCGCCACGCCGTGGGGCCCCGGCCTCCCAGCACCCGCGCCATCGGGGCTCGCCTCCTGCCACCCCGTCTCGGTCCGCATCATCATTCCCCCCAACCCGGGGGAGCAGCCCCATAGTGCACGTCTTTGTGTCTCCACAGCCCCATCTTCGTCATCTCTATAATCCTCCCCGACACGAATTTTCCCCTTTCCCTGTCGCCACCGGGACTGGGCAAGGGCCCCAAATTCATCGCTAGCAAACCTGTTCCATTCATTCATCCTTGCTCGCTCTCCGGGAGGATTTTCCCCGCCCCCTCCCTGTCACCTATACACCTACGTCTGCTCTAGGGCCCAGCTCGCGCTGAAGATTTTTTTTCTCACCTTCATCAAGACATTTGAGCGTTATTTGTGACAACCCCTTTAAGCCTCCAGTCCTGCTGGGATGTGGCATTTATTTCTTACGCATCTTCGTTTGTAGCATAATCCTGACTCTGGTTCCCAGTTTAAGGAGGGGGAGGGCCATCTACTCCCTTTGGAGAGGGTTTGCTTTCTCTGGAGGAGTGAAATATTGCAGACCAATAAAACATAAACTTTGGCTCGTAAAAGACATTTCTAGTAACCCGTTTTGTTCTCCATTCTTTTCTGGGAAGGAAAATGGGGAATTTGTATAGCTCTTGTTTTGCGAAGCACACTCACCTGCATTAATCCTCGTGATCTCATGACGTAGGTTTTATTATTGCCCATTATTTAGATGAAACTGAGGCTCAATGCGGAGAATCGCAGGGCTATTAAGTCATACGATTGAGACAGGAATCCAAATTTTTCTTTTTCTTGTGTGATGTATGCATCCATACATACGGATATATTTGTAATCCCCAAATCATATAGAGTTGCTTCTAGAATCTTCACATTTGTACGTGGAATTTCAATTTTGGAGGTATTCAACAAATGATGACGTACTCTCAGATAATGAAGCCTTAAAAGAGATGACCTGACTGAATGGTTCATTGCCTCCATTATGCTCAAATCTAAAACTGTTTACCATACCTGAGATACACACAGCACCGTCATCATAGACAGATACAGCGTGCCAGCCAAAACAGCTCCCTTTTTTTTTTTCTTTCCTTCAGTTTCTGTGAGGGTGGGGTTCAGGGGCATGTGAGTAATGGACACATAAGAAACCTTTGAAGATCTCACGTGTATTCCTGTTACTTTGCAATGAGGAAACTAAAGCCCAGAGGGCCGGTGACTTGAGGTGAGCTCAACCAGCAGTCATGATAGAGCCTATTCCACTCTAAGTCTTTAGCTCCCAACTTCAGTATTCCTGCCACTACATTCCCTTTTTCAGTGTAGCATTTTGGCCTGCAGGGAGTAAAAGTATGTAAGAGATGATTGCTTTTAGAAACATATAAGTAAGATTCTTTGCTGTCTTATTGCATGTAAAGCATGGCTCTAGCTATAAGATTAGATACATTTTTCAAGGAAGACTTCTGAATTCTATATCTACACTGACAGTTTTATGATCTTTATAGGTGCAAAATAATTCATGGTCCCTTTTTTCTTCTTCTGAACAGCCACTATGGAAGGAGAGGTCAGGATTACAGCCGAGGAGACTGGCACACAGAGTGTTAAGTGACACCCACTCAGTGAACCCTGAAGCTGTTACAATTAATTAACCCTCAAACTGCCCGGTGAGATAGGTCAGTATTAAAACCTGAAAAAGGATGATAAAGCACATTACAAATTCAAAGATCATCCCACGCTAAAAAGTGATTTTTCCCCACATGGAAGTCAGTCACTGATGAGACTTGCTCCAGGTCTGGGAAAGAGATGGGCTTAGATATTCACGCCTCTCCTTTGAGTCTGGGGTCTTACATGGCTGCCTCCCACTGCTTGTCTTGGTTCCTGCTGATTTTCACTGGCTCTCAGTGATCTACCATGGGGGCTACTCCCCCTTTCCTACGTGGGTTGTAACCAGGCTATCACTCCTTGGAGCAACCCACTGGGAGGACTCTAACTCAGTTCCCTCTGCAGTTTACAGGCTGGTGACCTACATCTTTGTCTATGAGAATCCAATCTCCCTATTCTGCGGTGCTATCGTCATCTGGCGCTTTGCTGGCAACTTTGAGAGAACCGTGGGCACCGTCCGCCACTGCTTCTTCACCGTGATCTTCGCCCTCTTCTCTGCTATCATCTTCCTGTCATTTGAGGCTGTGACAACACTGTCAAGGCTGGGGGAGGTGGAGGATGCCAGAGGTTTCACTCCAGTGGCTTTTGCCATGCTGGGAGTCAACTCTGTCCGCTCTCGGATGAGGAGGGCCCTGGTGTTTGGGGTGGTCGTGCCCACAATGGTGGTGCCATGGCTACTGCTGTGTGCTTCCTGGCTCATTCCCCAGACCTCTTTCCTCAGTAATGTCTGTGGACTTGGGATTGGGCTAGCGTGTATCCTTCCTAAAAGATAACCTGCCTAAGGGTAAACCAAGATGGAGGGTCTGGGGGCTCAAGTAGATAGGTCCATGGGCTCAGATGCAAGTAATCTGAGTCCTAGCTTCACCCTTGAAAACCATGTAACCTGGGCAGTTTAAATTCTTTCTCTAGGCCAAAATTTCCTTATCTGGAAAAAACAACATAACTACTCCCTCATGTCACATGCCTCCTTAGCACTATCAATGAAATATTCTGATTTTTTTCCCTTGTGAACAGGGGTGTAAACCTATATTTGAATCACTGTGAGAGTTTGTTGGAAGAATCTGAAATACCATGAGCTGGAGATGAAAGGAATAGGAAACAGATTTGTTTTGTTATTGTTTTTATTTGGTTTGATCTTTTATTCAGGAAAAAGAAATGTTTTAAGACAGACTTTTACATTGGTAAAAGAATATAGTTAAATATCATTAAATATGATTAAAAATTAAATTAAAAAATTAGGTCAGGCCTTACATGCCTTGTATATATATTTTGGCAATTAGGAAAAACAATTTAAAATACAGAATGAGCCACATTTTTAAATATCAGAATTGATGATATTGGGGGTTTTACTCAGTGCATCCTTAAAATCTTTATAAGTTCGTAGAGTAGGCAGTGTATAAATATACATAACATAGCTCTTTTTATCTTATTTTAAATTTTATTGTAATTTCATTTCTTTTAAACTTTTTCCTAATATCAAAATTTAAAGCTATAAACTCCCCTGTAAGCACTACTTTAGCTGCATCCCACAAATTATGATGATTGTCAGTTAAACTGGGCCTCCCCGGTGGCGCAGCGGTTGTTAAGCTGCCCGCGGCCTCTGCGGCGCCGGTTCGATCCCGGCTGCTCCCCAGCCAAGGAGGGTCCCAAATATCTGGCTCTGGTGAATTCTCTCACCCTCCCGCGCTTCTGACTGTACCCAGGGTTATTTCATATAAGTGAGTTGCTTAACTTCTACATATTTGGTGATCTTCTAGATTTCTTTTTTGCTGTTGACTTTTTATTTCTTTCATGTAGTCCTTTTAAATTTTTTTCTGGGCCTGCGTTGCTCTATCTTGGTGAATATTCTTTGTATACTTGAAAAGAACATATTCTGTGATTGGTGGGTATTGTGTTCAATATATATATGTCAGTTAAGTCAAGGTATTGATGTTCAACTCTTCTATATTCTTATACTTCTCTCACTGAGAGAAGACCATTGAATTCTGCAACTAAAATTGTGGATTTGTCTATTTTTTTCTTCCAATTCTTATGATTTTTCCCTTTGTTTATTTTGAAGCTGTGTTTTTGGATGCATACACATATAGGTTCAGTATGTCATCTTAATGAATTCACCTTTTATCATCATGAAATTTACCCTGTTCATCTAAGAATTGTTTTTGCCCCAGAGTCTTTGTCATTTGATATTTATAGTTATTCTAACTTTCTGCTTTTTAAAAATAGAATTCAAATGGTATGTATTTTCCATCCTTAGATTTTTGACATGTTTGTGTCTTTAAAGCATGTTTCATATAGATAGCATATAGTTGGTTCTCTAGTCTGACAGTTTTAAATTGTATGTTTAACCTATTTACATTTAGAGTAATTGCTGATATGGTTGGGTTTAACTCTGTCAGATTGTTTTTTGTTTTCTCTTTGCCCCAGATGTTCTTTATTCCTTATTTCTCTTCCTGCCTTTAATTGTATATTTTTTAGTATTTCATTTTATCTTCTCTGTTTGCTTATCATACCTCTTTGTCCTATTTTTAGTGATTGCTCTAGTATATACAATATACATTTTTAGTTCATCACAGACTTCTTTTAGATAACAACACTTCACAGATAATGAAGAATTTTATAACATTGTATTTCTCTTTTTCTTCTTTTCATTCTTTGTGTTATGTCATTATTTACTTCTACATATATTATAAATCACAGAATATGTTGCTATTACTTTTATATTAGACAATTATTTTTAATTTAAAAAGGAACATTTACCATTTCTACTTCTTTTCATCCTTTTGTGCTTCCATGTTTCCATGTGGTATCATTTTCCTTTAGCCTGAAATTTTTTCTTTAACATATATTGAAAAACAGGTGTGTTGATAATAAGTTCTTGATTTTCAAAAGCTCTTGGTTCTCAAAAAGTGTCTTTAGTTTACTAACTATAGAATTATTGCCTCTGATATCCTTTATTCTCAAAGATGTCATTACTTTACTTCTGGTTTGTATCTTTTTTAATGAGAAGTCAGTAATCTTTTTTTAAAAACAGGCTTAATTCACTTTATTGTTTTTGCATAAAGCAATGCGGTAGCCATACCTGGAGCTTAGGTCCTCAGTGATCATTTTTATTGTTACCCTGTATAATTCATTGTTTGTCTCTGACTTGTTTCATGATTTTTCCTTTATCACAGATTTTCAGCTACTTAGTTATCATGATGTGTCATAGGGTGATTTTCTTTGTGTACCTTACTTGAAGCTTACTGATCTTGTATCTAGAGTTTAGAGTTTTCATCAACTCTAAAAAATTATTGTAATTATTTCTTTGAGTATATATTTCTCTCCTATTTTCTTCTCTCATTCTAGGGTATCAGTTACACATATGTTAGACTACTTGATGTTGTTCAATGATGGGGTAACTGATCTTTTTTTTTGCAGTGTCTACCATGTAGTTAAACCCATCCAGTTAGGTTTTTTCGTCCTCAAGTTATATATTATAGTTCAAGAAGTTCCCTTTAATCTCTTTTTACTTTTCATTTCTGTATTGACATTCTTTTTTGTGTGTTCCATTACTATGGTTGTGTTTTCCTTTAAATGCTTTTATACTTACATATGTATAGTAGTTGTTTTTTCCTGATAGGTGCTTAATTTACTTGTTAAGTCATTGCCTTTTTGGAATTTTCTTCTGAATGCCCTGAGTGTTCACAATGATGTGTCCTTACTCTGTCTGGTTATAACTTCAGCATCTCTTGGGGACTTGGGGACAGGTGTAGTTCTACCAGCTCCCTGGTAGTTGTTTCCTCAGTAGCTGTTCTTTGCATAGCCACATTCACCTCGCCCTGTGTATGTACACGCTGGAGAGTATTAGGACAGCCTCATTCCACTGCAAGGACAGCGGTGTGTACCCACGACTGCAGGGGTTAGAGGGACTCAAGAGATGGCAGTTGGGTTGGTTTAGGGGAAGGGAAAGTGTTAGCATCTATGTACCCTCCCCTTTTACTGGCCATGTTCCTTCTGAGGTACAGTGAGTAGAAGCTCAACTTGTGATTTCCTCTGGGCTTGAAACTCTTGTAAGATAATGGTGGGAATGAGCACTAATATCCCTGTAGAATAAATGTGGGAACCTGTATTCTTCCATGGGAAGTATTTAGCCCTTTAGCTACCTCCAATTTTACTTAATATACTGACCTCAGATGGCATCACATACTGCTATTCCATCGACCTCTCAGAGCGTGTAGCACTGAAGCTTGACCAGAAGTTCCCCTTCAGCCTGATGAGGAGGATTTCAATGTTCAAGTACATCTCAGGCTCTTCAGCTGAAAGAAGAGCAGCCCATAGCCGGAAGTAAGTTACAGAACTCTTAAATCTTACTTTAAAGGCAATTCATGGCTTGTGGAGAATATGACTGGTTCAGTGTCATAAGGGAAAAGGAACAGGGTTTGGGTAGCCCTGGGCCCAGAAAATCCACACACAAGTGTTCTGAATACTTTTGTCTGCCCAACTACATCAAAAGTAGTGCCAAGCAGAGATGGGAAAGGGAGAGCACTGGAGCACAGCATTAATCCTCCATGGCACATGGCAGAGGGGTGGGGAGGAAGGGAGGTGTGTAGGGGAGGGGGAGCTCCTTGCTTCCAAGCCCCTACTCACTCTCTTTCTACGGTTCCACTCTGCTGGTCTCTTGAATGCGTCACTGGCCCAGTGTCCCTTCATACCACTGGCTTGCGCAGGATCCTGAGTGGGCCCTTCTCTCTCTGGACATCTGTTTTCTGTTGAAATGAAACTTTTCCCCAACTTAGTACTTAGAGCTAGTGAACAGGAAACGTCTGCAGCCCATTGTAGTGTGACAGTTCCTGGGTCTCGAGCATTTCTCCTGTGGGTGCCGCATGCCTTGGTATTACTAGCCGGATGACCATTTTGTCTCTTGTTCATTCCAGAATGAACCCTGTGCCTGGCTCCTACCCGACGCAGAGTGGCCATCCTCACCTGTCCCCCAACCACCCTGTCGCCCAGATGCAGCACACTAGTGGCCAAAAGTTAGCCTCTTGGCCCCCCAGTGCTCCGGGGCACATGCCCAGCCTGCCTCCATACCAGCCTGCCTCCGGCCTGTGTTATGTACAGAACCATTTTGGCACAACCCCTAACTCCTCTGGTGTCTACCCAGCTTCGGCGGGTGCCTCCATGGGGGTTCAGCCTCCTGCCCCCCTCAACTGCCCCGGCACAGTGTATTCTGGAGCCCTGGCCACTCCGAAGGCTGCAGGCTCCAAGGAGTGCTCACGGGTTCTGATCCCCTGAGAGAGATTTTCCAGGGGAGTTATCTCACCTCATGGCCTTCTGAAGAAGGTCCTCTCTGAGATTTTCTTTACAAAAAATTATTTATTGAACACCTCTGTGTGCCAGGCTCTGTGTTGAGTACTTTGATATTCCTATTTCAAGCTCATTCATTTTCACGACAACTTTGTGAAGTGCAGTTTTTTGTCCCCAGTTTACAGGTGCAGAAAGCGAGACACTTTGTGATGCTATAAGGTTGCGTAGCACTGTAGCGCCATGGCTGGGGCGCTTGGCATCAGGCCCGGGCTCCTCCCATTCACAGTCCTGCCTCCCGGATAACACCTGGGAGAAGAAGGCCCAGGTCGTCCTTGGAAATTCCAGCTCTGCATTTCCTTCCTGTCCTGTGTGTTGTGCTCTTGATTATAGTGTGTCTGTGTATCTTGTGTCTGCCTTTTGGAAGCTCCCTGCTGATGTGCTTGGCAGTCCCCAGGCCTGTGTAGTGTTTCTCCCTGCAGTGACGCCCCCACCCAGACTTCTGCCCCAGAAGTGGTGAGACGGACCTGTGTGAACTGCAGTGGCCTGTGTAGTGTTAACTGCCTTTGTATAAAGAAACAGCCTTCAACCTGCCTGTGGTGTGTGGTCTCTCTGTGGTCTGGACGGGGGATAGGGAGAGCATTGAGATCTGGGCCGTGGAGTGATGAAGAAGACAACTGTTTGGAGGGTCATCGAGTCAGGACAACAACCTCCACTCCACTTGGGCATTGGGGGGTGAATTGCAGCAGTGCTGGGATAGCTGAAATGGCAACCCTGAGATTGGCAACTCCTGCCCTAAATAGGGGAGCATGTTCCCAAAGTTCCATCTTGGGCCACTGTGAAAAGGGCTGCCTTACAGGACCTTGTACCAAGGGGTAACATGGGTATGGGCAGCAATGACTGCTGTAGCCGGAAGCAGGGACAAGAGCCCGGGTGTCTTTCCTGCCCCATCTCCCGTCAGCATCTCCCTCTGGGCCACATTCACCAGGAATGCATTAGCAGGAGAATCCAAGAAATGTAGTTTGTGGGGTTCGGCCTCATGGAGGCAGGACAGGGCAAGGGCAGCGATGTAACTGAGCCAACAGGTACCTGATGAGCCCGAGGAGAGCGCAGGGCTACTAATGAGCATCAGCTGCGGCTCCTTCCGTGTGCTCCCATCAGGAAATGTCCCAACGTGCATGTGCTTCCATGGATGTCATCATACTTGGCCATCAGGAGCTGGATGGCTCACTCTGAGCTGGCTTTTTACGCGTCCTGGGTATTAAAGGTGGATAAGGCACACCCACAAATCCACCCGGCCAGGTGGGGCCCACAGTGGTACGCATATACCTGGATGGCTCATTTGGGCAAAGGGGCTGGGGGTGGAGCTGAGCAGGTGACTCCTGAGCTGGATTGTGAAGGAGGATTCAGGTGCCCAGGCTGCAGTTGGCATGTGTCTGCAGTCAGAGCAAAGTCTGACAGGGCCCAGCCTGGGCCTCTGACTCCAGCCGTACCTGGCACCTTTCCCAGTATCACTTGGTGAGGGCAGACTGTCGTATGTCCCTTACATTTTCCTTCTACTCCTGTCCCAGACCCATACCCAGAAGCAGCTGAGAGGTCCCCCTACCCCCAGTGTGGCAGGGTCATGTCCTTTGTGTTGGACCTCCTGGCATGGCCTGCCTGGCTGTAGAGGCCATGGGCCTGCTGATGGTTGGGCTGGGAGACCCTCTCAAACTCTCACATATCTCTGAGTAGCAAAGTTCTGAGGATCCTCAGAAGCCATTCATTCCAACCATCACCCCTTCCTGGTTTTACTAATGGGGTTCCAAGAGGCAGGACGGGTCTGGCAAGAGCAGCCACCAGCAACCCTGACCACAGCATCTGCTGAGACAGCTACTCTGACACTGACCTTTTGTCTGTTCCGCTGGACTTCCCTGGGTCTGGCAGCAGTATATGATCAGCAGCATGGAAGCAGGTCAGAAGAGGCCACCTCACCCCTCGGTGTACATTTCAGAGGAACTGGAGGAGCTACCAAACCCCACCCCCATTTGCCTTGCCTGTCAAATCATCCACGCCCACAAACACTGAGCGTGTGCTGAGTGCATGCCAAGACTCGAGACTCGAGCTAGAGGTTGGGATGAAGGCCAGCTCCGTGAGCAGAGAACCCAAAGTAGGGCTGGTGCTCGTAAATATTTATCTAAATATTTATTGATGAATGAGCTGCTGATCCCTGCCCTTGGGGGACTCTGGGGGGGAGGGGAGTGGGAGGTGGGCCAGGGAAGAATGGACAGATAAAGAACTAATTCAGGGGGGGCCTCCCTGTTGGCGCAAGGGGTTAAGTCTCAGCACTATGAAGCTATCCGCAGCCACTGCAGCATGAGTTAGATCCCTGGCCAGGGAGGGGACCCACATGGTGCAGCAGACCTCTCCTGACTCTCCCACTGCTCCCCTCAGCAGTGTATTTCAGTTAGTCTGCCTGTTCTGCTCCCCACTCTGTCTCTGGTGAATCCTCTCACCCCCCCACCTCTGGCCTGTACCCCAGTTCTTGTATGCATAAATAAATAAATCTTTTTTTAAAAAAACTAATTCAACAACACTTTAAGGCTCTCAGAAGAGCCTCCCCCATCCTGGAGAGCTGGTGAGCTGAGGATCAGATACTGAGCACACTCATGGAGGGAGTTTTGGAGGCAGGGAAGGAAGAAGCCACCCACCGTGTCCTGTTGCTATTGTTAGCGTGAAGAACACATGATCTTCAGCACGAGGGAAAGCCATAACTCCCTGCAACCAGAAACCTCTCTCCTATCCCCAGGCAGGCAGGACCTACTCCAGTTAGAGAAGCTTCCAGACCTGGTCAGCAGGGAGCAGCAGAGAAGCAGAATCACGCTGGGGCCAGTTCTATAAATACTCCCCAGGGGAGGTTTGGCTTCAAGGTCCTAGCATGACAGGAGGAAGAGGGCTGGTGCCCTTTTTCCAGAAACACACCTCCTGGTGGGGGTGTCAGATTTGTGCATAACTACAGCACAAAATAAAGGCTGTGTGCCCTGCCAGGCTTCATTCCTTCTCACACTTGTTCTTTCATTCATTTCTGTAACACTTTGTGAGCCAGTACTGAGCCCCAGGACTGTGCTCAGCTCTGGGGTCATGAAGATAAAAAAGACCCAGGCCTGCCTTCAATGTCTCTTGGTCCATTAAGGGAGATGTGCTGTATGGAGTGAGAGAGAGAGAGAGAGAGAGAGAGAGAGAGATGGGAGCCACAGGGGAGGGTCAGAGAAGAAACTTCCAAGGAGGAGAGTTGCCAGGCCAGGGCAAGGGCCAGGAGGAGGAGGGCACAGCATGAGCAAAAAGCAAGAGGGCAAGGATCCAGAGGTGCACACATTAGGAAAGAGCTGGTTGCAGCAGCCCAAGCTGGTGGCCCTGCCTTGCAACCTTGGGGGGGTGGGGGGAGGTGTAGAGGAGGACAGGCTGGTGGGCGTGGGCAGGGGAGAGTATTAGACAGGCAGAAACAGAAGCCCGGCGTGTAAAGATTTCTGGGGTTGTCCTGAGCTGGTGACCAAGCAGAATATGTGCACACAGCCTTGCTCCCGAAACCCAGTGCTCCTTCCCTGCCTGGAGGGGTCAGCTTGCTCTCAAGTGAATGGGATGAGGAAAGGCCCCCCCAAAGAGAGGGAGGCAAGACAATCCTGTAGGATGAGGTTCCCGCAGGCATGGAGTGTGAGGGTGTGGGGAACTGACCTTGGGCTGGATGCTTGGGTTGGGTCCCTTGAGTTCTTAAGACCCACAGAGGCACCTCCCTTGTCTCCATCCCAGGACGCTTCCTGAGCTCTGATCTGCCAGTCTGTGCATGAACCACTGTCGGCTGCAAAAGCAACACCCTAACCTGCACCTGAAGCTCCAGCCATTCCCAGATTACACCTGGAAACTTGCTCCAGGGTTCTGATTTGAGCCTAGATCCCCTCCCAGAAAGGTCCCTAGCGACTTGCCTGCCCAGTTCTACCCTTGAACCTTAGCCAAGTCACATCTCAAGGCTGCCTTTGGTGGAATTCTTCCTCCTGGGGCTCTAGCTAGGGCCTCCTATGACTCAAGGGCCTAGGATGGGAAAAACAGTTTCCACAGAAGTGGCTCTGGGCTAGCTTGGGCCTTCCCAGTGCCCAGGAAAGCTGGAACCACATAGCGCCTCTGCACTCCCCACCACACAGCCCACACAGACTTGTGTAAACACAAGCACAACGTTCTGAACATGTGTGTGTGCTGAAGCTCACAAATCTGGGCCCCCACCCACATCGATTCAAGTTCAGACTGGTGATGCCCACCGACCACAAAAAATGCACACACAGAATCACGCATGAGCTGGTCTGTGTACGTCTGCATGCACACACGTGTGTCACGTCACAGGCAAGGTAAGTGCTCAGGTGGGAAGCCCTGTCCCTCCAGCTGGCCCAGCTGCATCTCCCACCATCCCCTGCCTTTCCCCAAACACACAGTGAGATAAGCAGATGGCTGGCAGGAAGCATCTGAAAATGAGCAAAATCTTCAGGAACATGCGTGGCCATCTATCGCCGTGAAGAATAGGGCCCTGCCCTTCCTGCCCCTCTGTCTGCCCATCACTTGCCTGGAATTTCACCATCGAGGCTGTTGCTTTCACTTAGGGTCACCAGACATTGAAGGACACTGGAAAAGAGCCCACACCGGTGAACATGAGGCCCAGGGAGCGATAAGGACATGCAGTGAATCCGTGATTGAACACAGTGGCCACCACTGGCAGGAGTGAGAAAGAGGCGAGGGAGGAGTCCTCCTGGAGCCCCCGAGGGAGCATGGCCCAGTCCATGCCTGATTTGGGAGTTTTGGCCTCCAGAACTATACCTGGGTACATGTCTGTTGTTTTAAGCTTGACGTTCTTTGTTGTACTAACCCTAGGAGGAGAATACAGGCAGGTTCATCTCCCCGGATGGCTGTGGGGCCTGCCACCTCTGCCAAGGGTGAGCCAGCTCTGCCATGTGATGGGCCGGCTCCAGAGTCCTGCTCAGCACCCAGGAGTGCCCCAAGACAAGCCTGTGCGCCCTGTCACAGCCTGGCCAAGCAGGCCTCTCCGGGACAAAACGTGGAGAAGGGCATTCCAGGGGAGAACAGCGTGCGCTAAGATGGGTGTGTTCGCTTGGTTGGACCCAAATGTGGGGTGCGGGAAGGTCAGTGAGGGTTTGTTCTTAGAGCTGGACTTGTGAGGCCTCTCAGCCAGGGTGGGAAGGGCCT